CTTGAGTCCGAACGACCTCACTTTATAGCAGTAAGTCCCTTGGTGACTGATGAAAGTTGCCTTTTCCTGATCCTCCTCGGCCATTAGAATTTGGTTGTAGCCGGAGTAGGCATCCAAAAAACTCAGCAGTTCGTGCCCCGCTGTCTCGTTGATCAGCTGGTCGATATAGGGCAACGAGAAGGAATCTTTCGGGCATGCCTTGTTCAGATCGGTGAAGTCCACACACATTCGCCATTTCCCGTTCTTCGTTTTGACCATGACCACATTGGCGATCCATTGGGGGTATTTCGATTCTCTGATGGAACCGTTGGCTAGCAATTTGTCCACCTCTTCACTGGCCGCCTCATTGATCGTGGCATTATATTTTCTCCTCATCTGCCGTATGGGCGGATAGAGTGGGTTGACATTCAACCTCTGAATGGTGATGTCCTTTGGGATCCCTGGCATATCTGAGTGGGAAAAGGCAAATAGGTCGGTATTGTTAGTTAAAAATTCACGGTACTTACCTGGCTCAGAGAGGTTGTGCCCGATATAAGCCTTTTTTATGTTGTCGGCGTCATCCAGCTGGACCGGGTCGAGGTTTTCAATAGTTGCCTTGCAGGCTTCTATGATATCTGGGTCTCTGATGACCTCTGTTGGCTGGTCTATTTTAGTTCCCGAAATGGCTGATTGCTATGCCTCTGCGCTTGCTCCTTTCAGCTGTTTGGTATGCGTGCAATCTTGGGCGATCCGATAGCATTCCTGGGCGGTGCGCGGTTCGCCTCGAATGCTGAATATACCCCACGGGGTGGGAAATTTGATCACTTGATAGAAGCTTGAGGGGATGGCTCGCATGGCGTGTATCCATGGGCATCCTATGATGGCATTATAGGCTGTTTCCTGGTCCATGACGTGGAATGTGGTTTCCAGCGTGACTCCCCCTACTAGGACCGACAACGCTACTTCTCCAGATGTCCGTTCTACTGCATTGTTAAAACCCGTTAGTGTTATGCAATACGGTATTATTTTATCATCAAGCCTCATTTGCACGAGAACTCTCGGGTGGATAATACACGCGCCACTTCCGTCATCTACCATGATTCATTTTACATATGTATCAGTGATGCGTAATGTTATAACCAAAGCATTATAATGAGGTAAAGACAAACCATCGACATCTGACTTTTCGAAGATGATACTGTCTTCGAGGTCATCATACCGTTCGTGGGCGACTATTCGTTTGAGCTTGTGTGTAGTGGTGAACTTCACGTGGTTGATTACCGAGTCATCGCCACCACCGATGATCATCTGTATGGTACGTGCCGGCGACGGTGGCTTTGGAGATCCTTGAGATGGGTCGCGTCCTCTGGGAAATTGGCCTTTCCTTTATCGCTGAGCAATTCTTTCAGGTACCCCTGGTTCAACATCCTGACCACCTCCCACCGTAAACCTATGCAATCTTTGGTCTTGTGTTCTCTTTCCTGATGGAATTCACAAAGGACATTTGACCTTCTCACGTTTGGGTCCGATTTCCTTTTTTGTTGCCACTGCACCTTCGTGCCCAGTTTCTCCAGTGCGTACACTATCTCTGAAGGGGAAACACAAAATTTCTGAGCAGATAACAGTGGAGGCATACCTTTTTCGTTTCGAAGGGGTGCGGTGTGTCGTAGCACGACATCTGCATGCCTTGGAGGAGGCGGGTTGGATGTTCTGACATAGGGCTGATGCCTTTCTCAGTTGAAACGTGGGAGTTGATCCCTTCGCCCGTCGTTACGTCGATCCCTCTTTGCCTCGGACTGGACTGACGTTAGTCGCTGGGTTGGACCATTGAGATCATCTTTATCCGCTCTTACCTCGGCGTAATAGGCGTTATGAATTTCTTCCCATGTGGTAGGGGATACTTCATGAGTCTGTTGAGCAATTTCTTGGTTGCCTTTGACCCGTTCCTGTTTAACCCGTTTTGGAAGGCTGCGACTGCCATTCCTTCTGACACATTTGGTAGTCCCATTCTTACCCTATTGAATCGGGCCAGGAAGTCTCGAAGTCATTCGCCCGCCGTTTTCCTGATGGCGAAGATGTCGTTGACCCTAGCTTCAGTCTTCTTTTCTCCTACATGAGCAGTGGCGAATTTGTCCGCCATCTCCTCAAATGTCGATATCGACCGTGCTGGTAGTTGAGAATACCATGTTAATGCTCCTCCTGTCAAAGTCTCACCAAACTTTTTCAACAGTACGAATGGCACTTGTTCTTTTGACAGGTCATTGCCTTTTATCACAGTGACGTAATGGATTAAATGATCTTCTGGATCCGTGGTCCCGTCGTATATTTTCAAATATGGTGGCATTTTGAACGTTTTCAGGATAGGGTAAGGAGCACTTCCTCACTGTATGGCTGTTCGACGAACCTTCACACATCGCATTTTGGCAGCAACTTAGGGGCGCCAGGTATTTTGTCAACCCTTTCCTGGTGATCTTTCATTTGATCACGAAGTACTTTGTTCTCGTTTTCCATTTCTTCCATTTTCTTTAGGATGGTTGTGAGTGCATCGTCACTTGCGTTGATGACAGTGTGAGTGTTGCTCGTTCTTGTAGTGCCTAGCTCGCTGGTGATAACTGCGATTTCTGCCGTTGGCGAATCTTCGGCATTTCCTTGAGGGGGTTTTTCGAGCATGTTGCTTAGAGCACTCGCCAACCACTCCTCTAGTAGCTTTTTGATTGCTGGTGGTGTTTCTTTCACTGTAGACACGAAAGCTCCTCTTTCACGCAAGACCGTCAGATCCTCTTTCACGCAAGACCGTCAGATCCTCGTGTGGAGAGGGTGAGATCTCCCCCTCCGGTGTATCTCTTGGTGTTGCATTCTCGGTATCTTCCCTACCGGCTTCGTTGAGGGAGTTCAAGAGGTTATTTGAGACATTTGCTATCATCTTCAACTTCGCTTCTTTCTCTGCCATTGTTGGCTTCTATGGGATGTGAAGAGCAGTGATCGTTGCTTTCGATATCCTAGGTGAGAACTACGATTTCGACTATGGAAATCCTCACAGACGGCGCCAAATTGTTTGACTCAAAAGATGTTAAACTCTTTCTAAGCAAATAAATCAAAAAAGATGAAGGGGTAAATCGTAGTCGAAAATAATAAACCCTAGGATAATTCTGGTAGATGGAATGACAATAATAGAAAAGGAGAGAGACCAATAGAGAGATAAAGATTAGAGAGAGAGAGAGAGTCAGCTTGTATATTATCCACTCTCTCTCGATTACAAGGCTTGAGTCCCTCTTATATAATGGAGGATTTTTACTTAATCACTGGAACGACAACTTAAGAAGTACCTACTACAACAAAGCCTGACGATGATGCGAGGACGTCTCTCCTTTAACCCCTGGGTCGTACCCTTGTATCGACTCGTAGGTACCTGGTAGTTGGTCGTGTTAACCTTGAGACGTGATCGATTAAATTCGAACCCATACAATGATAACATCAAATATGTGATGGTCTGAATATCTAAGTCTTTTATAATTACGTCCCGTAATAGTGTGAATATGCTTAATACAGAAGTCAACTTCCATTATGATTTTCTTTCATTCATGATTTCAGTTAGTTAATTATTTTTCAGTACAATAATATGAATCAAAATTACAAACTTATTCAATGATAATTGTTGAAGATAAAATCCAGTTCATTTATACTTTGACAAAAATTTAATTCAAATTTACTCTCTCGTCTTTTTTATTAGTCCTTTATATCAAAAATAAATTTTTACCTTTACTTGTCCACTTTAACAAATAAATTTTTTTATTTATTATTTTGTTTCAATATTACCCTTAGTATTAAGTACCCATACTTTCCAAATTAATTGGAGTTACATCCTTAATAATCATTAACAAGAACAATTTAGTAAATAAATTCAATGATCACTTAAAGAGCGTATCAAGCAAGGAACGAAGGGAATAATAAAACAAGATATTTACATTCAGGGGCCTATCTAGGTCAATGCATATGGGTTCACGTGAACCCATACACCTCTTTCTAAACCATGTATAATAATATTATTTTTTTTCAAAATTACTTAAATATATATGTGTGCACTGATGCTCAAAGACTCCTGTAGTGCAACAATTACTCAAATCCTACTCTAAACGGTCTTATTTTCGGCACAGAGTATAGATCGATATTAAGTGAAAATCACTAAAACTTCAAAAAAATAATAATTTTAAACCTATAATTTCAAAAGTATAGTGAGTTTAAGGTAAGAGACTATAGTTAAATCGATCAAATATAAATTCTAGATCCATCTTTTTATAATAGTGACTCTTGAAATCCTAGATCCGCCCCTATTTACATTGAAAACTTAAACTTGTAACAAATGCCGAAATCTAGACATAAAGGAAAATGATACAATAGTCTTGTCATGCTCAAAATTTAGCGCTTGTACTAGAACGAAAGTGGATTAAAAACTACATCATTCATGGTCGGAAAGAAAGAAAGAGCAAAAAGTAGGAAGGAGCCACAATACTTTGAGGCCTACCACCAGAAAGCTCAAAAGTGGGCGAGAGCGCATTCTATATTTCACGGGTCTCTTCCTAAAGGTGCAAACCTCATTAACTTAATTTCATGTTTTATTTTATACACCAACAACGTAAAGATTTTTATAGTATTAATCAAATTATTTAAAAGTCAATTATATATAGTTATCTAAGGCAACTACGTACTATAACTTATTAAATTTGAAAATACGTAAATTAAATAATCTCCTCTACGTAATATATTAAACTATATTGATGGTATAATAATAACTTAGAATCCTATTTAGGAATTGAAGTCATGGAAAGTAATTTAGCACATTAACATTTTTACATTAATTTGAAAGTAACGTCTCCCTTATACTTCATTCGCCACATATGCCTAGCCAAATGTGAAAGTCTTTCACAACGGCCATATTTCATTAGCCGTTTCATTTGAATATATAATGACATCCCTTGTGTTTCACCAGACATATACCCATATTTTCGCCCATTAATCCTATCCCCCCCCCACCCCCACCCCTCATTCATCTGCTTCATTGGTTATTTTTCTAGTCAAAGAAAAAAACATGGATATATCTGATGAGAATCAGTTCACTAGGAAATCACTGGGTAAAGATGATTTTTTTTTTTCTTCTCAAAAATTAGAGATGATCTTTTTTTTCTTCTCAAAAATTAATCTTCGTCATTGTTATGAATGAAAGTTGGTGAGGCAGGAATGGGAAACAGCAAGATTGGAGTGGAGACAAGACACAACAGAAGAGCACTGAGAGTGATTAATCAGAATTTATTAGGACCTAATCCATATCGTTGTGTTGTTAACAAGAGAAGATTATCACAGTAAAATACTTCGCTCCCAACTTTAAAGTTTTCACTTTTATTTTTTCCGAGTTTCATTTTTAATCTGGTGCAAAAAATTTCTTGCTTTCAGTGCAAATGGAATCATCTACGACAAGAATCCTACGAGGTTAGTCAGTAAAACTACCATTTCTATGAATTTTGTATATTCAAATTTCAGTTCACTTGTCCTTTAGGACACATCCCAGTAATCAAGAGGTTATAACTGAAATCATATATAGTGCTTGACTGATAAATAAAGTATAACTTTTTAAAATGAAGGAAATTGACTGCACAAATTGCTAGCTCACACCAGCATTACCCCGAGGTACAAAATTTCGATATCATGGAGTAAAAATAGTTGATTTATTTTTGGTTAAATTGAAGTGTCAAATAGCTTAAAAGTTGAAGTCAGGCACAATGATGTTGAACAGGAAACCAAGAAACCAAAACTAGCAGCGGAAGATTTTAGGATTTGGGAAGAACATGTGGCAGCTAAAGACCAACCCATGTCTATGTCTTTGGAACAAGAAGCAACATTTTCAAATGACAAGACAGAAATGGTAAAGAGAATTTTCCTTTCTAGTGTATTTGTGTTTGATGTTTTAATGAGCCGTTTTTTTGTGTATCATTAATTAAACAGCTAACTTCATAAATCCTGCAGGAGGTTGAAATGGAGGATATATTTGAGGAGGCACTAATAGATATTGACAGTGATGACACTAACAATCCGCTTGCAGTTGTTGACTATGTGGAAGATCTATATGCCAACTACAGAAAAATGGAGGTCAGTCCTCCATTCAGGTTCTGGTTATGTTACAAGGATTTAATTTATATAAACTGACAATGTAAATTTTCCGATATCAGTGGCTATAACAGTTTATTGATCTATTTTCCATATTAGAAGGTGCCATCGGTTAGCCTCGGTGGGTAGCAGGAGGGATAGAGGTAGGCCTAAGAAGTCGTGGGGAGAGGTTATTAGGCGGGACATGGCGCAGTTGAAGCTGACTGAGGACATGGCCCTAGACAGGAGGGTGTGGAGGTCAAAAATTAGGGTAGAAGATTCGTAGGTAGTCGAGCGTTTCTCTTTGTCTTACTCAGTTAGTTAGTATTAGTGTTAGTATGATATCTTTTATCCATAGATGACTATTACTACCTAGAGTGGCTATAACAGTTTATTGATCTATTTTCCATATTAGAAGGTGCGATCGGTTAGCCTCGGTGGGTAGCAGTAGGGATAGAAGTAGGCCTAAGAAGTCGTGGGGAGAGGTTATTAAGCGGGACATGGCGCAATTGAAGCTGACTGAGGACATGGCCCTAGAAAGGAGGGTGTGGAGGTCAAAAATTAGGGTAGAAGATTCGTAGGTAGTCGAGCGTTTCTCTTTGTCTTACTCAGTTAGTTAGCATTAGTGTTAGTATGATATCTTTTATCCATAGATGACTATTACTACCTAGAGTGGCTATAACAGTTTATTGATCTATTTTCCATATTAGAAGGTGCGATCGATTAGCCTCGGTGGGTAGCAGGAGGGATAGAGGTAGGCCTAAGAAGTCGTGGGGAGAGGTTATTAGGCGGGACATGGCGCAGTTGAAGCTGACTGAGGACATGACCCTAGACAGGAGGGTGTGGATGTCAAAAATTAGGGTAGAAAATGTGTAGGTAGTCGAGCGTTTCTCTTTGTCTTACTCAGTTAGTTAGCATTAGTGTTAGTATGATATCTTTTATCCATAGATGACTATTACTACCTAGAGTTTGACTGCATTCTTGGATTCAATTTTATTTCATCTTGCTGTTATTCCTACTTGTTGCAATTACCTTTTCTTTTTCAGTCGTTCTCTATCTGAGGGTCTATCGGAAACAAACTCTGTGCCCTTCCAGGGGTGGTGGTAAGGCTGCGTACATCTTACCTTCCCCAGACCCCACTTGTGGGAAACTGCTTGGTTTGTTGTTGTTAATGTTGTCAAGGTATATTTCATATGTAATGAGGCAAGGGCAGGTCCAACTTATCATGTCTGATTCCTCTGTTCAAACACCAGCTTTACTGGGGTTGATTATTAATTGCATTTTCAAATGAAAAATGACTGTAAATGATTTCTAGGTTTCGACCTTAAGTAAAAATATTATCTCCCTCTCATCAAGACAATATATATTCTTCCTTCCTATCTTAATTATAAACTGGCCATTGATGGATAGATAGTTTTTCAAATGCTAAATTCATTCTCCATTAAAATTATCAACCTTCCCCATTTATGTAAACTTTTATTATCAGTTGCCCCTTCCCTTAACTAACATAACATATTCACATTAAACGCAATTAAACACCTTGCACAAAGATATAATAACTTTACCAGTTACGCCAAGGATCCCTTCAACCTTGCACAAAGATATTACCTTTTTTTCATTTTTAAATAAGCATGTTGGTTTAGAGTTGAAAAACCAACTCCATGCATTTCATGGGGCTAACTTAACTAAGGGGTAATTGAACGAGGCGTTGGAATTTAATTAGATTCAAGATTGGCAGCTGTAACTGATATTGGCCATTTGCATTTCAGGGTTATAGCTGTGTTTCACCAAACTATATGACACAACAGTTTGACATCAATGAAAGGATGAGAGCTACATTAGTAGACTGGCTCATTGAGGTATATTTGATGTTTCTTCACAATGAAAATAATCAGGCAGTGGAATTAAGTTAGTATTTCATTATGTTGTTAACTTGCGTATTCTAAACAAACAGGTAAATCACAAGTTTGAGCTCAGGGAAGAGACGTTATTCTTGACTGTTAATTCGATAGACAGATTTTTGGAGAAGCAAATAGTTGCAAGAAAGAAGTTGCAGCTTGTTGGGCTGGTTGCTATGCTATTAGCATGCAAATATGAAGAGGTCTCTGTCCCTGTGGTGGATGATTTGGTGATTATTTCGGACAACGCCTATACAAGGAAAGAGGTTCTTGAAATGGTAATACTGATCTCATTATATCAACAAGTACTGCATTTCCTCTACTTTATTTGGCATTGAATTATGGAGATCGAGCATTAAGGTTGTAGGTTAGGGGAAATTGTGATTTTTTTTTCCTACAGCGCACTAGAGTGAGACTAGCCAGTTAGGAATTAGTCTTAGGATGCTATTGATCAGCTATTGATGATGGACTTTATCTGCTGTTTATTAGTATACCTTACATCTTTCTCGTATTTCCTATCTCTTATATTGCTGTTATTTTGTTATTTTATGGTATTTATGTTATGTTATGGATTTTATGGTATTTTATGTTATTTTATTATGAGTCTATTGATAGTGCTAATATAGTGTCTCTTGTTGCCTTCTTGAGCCGAGGGTCTCCTGGAAACAGCCTCTCTGCCCCTCGGGGTAGATGTAAGGTCTGCGTACATATTACCCTCCCCAGACCCCATTTGTGGGATTACACTGGGTTGTTGTTGTTGTTGTTGTTGTTGAAATCCATTCCTTTAATTTTACTGCAGGAAACATTAATGCTCGATACACTGCAGTTTAATATGTCAGTTCCAACTGCATATGTTTTTATGAGAAGATTTCTCAAGGCTGCTCAAGCTGATAGGAAGGTTAGTCTGGGAAGGCACTTGTAATAGTGGCTCATGTGTCTCTTGGCTCGTAAATGAAGAAAAAACGGTGACACGAAAGATGGAACTTTGACCTTCTGTTTATTTGTATTTTCTGAAAAATTCACACATAGTTCAGTTTTTATAGTGTGACACAAAATAGTCTTGTGACGTATAATTTTTTGACTTTACTGTTATAATTGGTAAAGTTTAGTGACAACACGTTAAATTAACCCCTCTTTGGTTCTTATTAACAGCTTGAGGTCCTGTCTTTCTTCTTAATCGAGCTTTGCCTCGTGGAATATGAAATGCTTAAGTTTCCACCATCTTTCATGGCTGCTGCTGCAATTTATACAGCTCAGTGCACGCTATATGGTGTCATGCAATGGAGTAAAACATGTGAATGGCATACAAGTTACTCAGAAGATCAACTTCTGTGAGAACTAACTCCATATTTCTGTTTGATTCTCACTTCACCTCTCAAGATTTATCTGATTTAGCATTCTTTTTCTTGCTTTAGGAAATGCTCGAGATCTATCGTGATCTACCACCAAAAGGCAGCAACAGGGAAACTAACAGGAGTACATAGGAAGTATAGCACATCTAAATTTGGCTATGCAGCAAAATTTGAGCCAGCACTTTTCCTGGTGCAGATCAAATAACAGAAGGGGGCATTGTACAGTAACTAGCTTTACGTGACATCCGTAATTTGGTTGCTGCTTCGATGGATTTGAGAGTTTGGGGTCGGGGTAAATATTTTACAGATACAACAATAACTCAGTAACAAAAAAATTGTAGTACCCTGGGTTGTTTGTCCATGTTCTGTTCAATTTTGGAACATACCTGATTATATTTCAATCAGGAAATAATTCATAGAAAACCCTCATTTTTTTTTTTATTCTCAGGTGTCATTTGACACTTAATATGCTTTGAGTAAAGCAATATTCTTCTTCCAGCTAGTAAAAGTTCATTCTCCACATGATTGTGCTCATTCAATCAGAATAAAGAGCTAACTTTAGCTTTCTTTGTACTCCATTCCCCACCCTGTCCCCACACTTTTTCCCATTTGTAATTTTTTTTTTTTTTGGTGTGTGTGTATTGAATTTGCTTGTAAGTTCATCGTCACTTGAGTTTAACAGAATAAAGAGACTAAAAATCAACTCCCAAAATCTGGAAATTTTTTACCAGGAAAAGAAGAACTACGGTTGCTCATGTCCTATGCCTTTGGAAAGATATCCAAATGGCTATGAGATTATATGCCTCGTGAAACTTTGCCAGCAGCTACACCATGATCATTTACATGAGACTGCCATCATAAGACAATGTGAGGTGCAGAGGAGTGATTATATAGCCAAGACATATAGGCAACACTACTGGTGCTATTGTCCCCCTTATTTATTCTTTTTCTATGTGTTGTGCTTTTCTTTTTTATTATTAATAAAATAACTACTAAGCACGCCTAATAGTGTAATCCNCTTGAACTTGCACCCAATTGTCATGCCGATAAATAAACTTTTAAAATTCCCAAATGAACACTTCAATTCTAGAATAAGTTGTCTAATAAACACATCCGACAGTTGAATCATACTGCGTGCATTACAATTTCAGAAACGTGGCAACCCAGTCAGCAATAAACGAATTAAAACCTGCCACGTGTAAGGCACGAAATCCCACTGAGCACCGGCTATTTCCCATTTATTTTGACCTAAAAACCCTTAAACACTCATTTCATTTTCATTTTCAGTTGTCTCTCTCAAAGAACTCTACATTTTCAATCGTTTGCTCAAATGGAGTGAACGATAGGATTTTCCGCCCATTCATCTGCACATTGTGTTTATTTTTCTTTCAAATTCGGTCTCAAAACAAGAATCTGAGTGTTTCGTATATCGTCGATTTCTCCTCCACTAGAAACATAGAAGTCATTCAAGGCCCGATTGTTGTCTTTCATGAAATTTCTAGTTGTTTTCTTTTGTTTTTATGCGTTATTGAAGTTGGTCATAATAGATAATGTTTTGTATGTGTGCAATGGTTCTTTCGTTATTTAGGGTTTAAAATTAGGGCTTTTTGGAATAACACACTAAATTCCTATTTTTTCTTTGAATTTTACCAGTTCCATGGCTGATTGGCATATAGGGTTAAAAATTAGGGCTTTTCATCATATCGCATTTTTTTTGTCTTTTAAAGTGATAAAGCTAGGGTTCTTTTCCCGCATTTGCTTGTTCTTTTTCAAAGACATGTTCAGACAATACTGTCTTTTTCTTTTGATTATTTTACTGATTTTGACTTGTCTTATCTTATTTTTATAGGCGTAGTGAGGCAGGATGGTTGTTCTTGTGAAATTATAATTTTACCATCAGGGACAACTGATAGCTGACCCATTAATGAGGTATGAAAATGGTGTAACATGTCCTACTATTGTAACTGCTGATACTGATGAATTGCATGTTATTCAATTTAATAAATGGACAAATGATATTGGGTACTTAGGTGTGGAGAAATTTGCATGTCAAGTCAATAAAAAAGGAGCATTTCGATTTATTAAGTATGATGCTGATATGTTCGAATTCTTCAAAGACCTTCATGATGGGGTTTTTATTGATATTTATTTATGTCACACCGTTAATATACCATGTATTGATATTGAATTGAATGAAATGTTAAGTAGTGATGTGGACCTAAGTGATATTCCATATGACCAAATAGTTAGCTTTAGTGAAGCGCCACAAAGGCAAACAAGTAGAGCTAATGCTAGGGCAACAAACTCACCTACCAATGATATAAATAGTGGTTGCTTTACTAAAGGGAAGGGTAAAGGGAAGGCTGCTAATATAGAAGAATCTACTGAGGATGAAGGAGAGTTCTACAACTTTCATCTAGCCATCGATTCAGATTGTGATGAATTTGAGAGTAATTCTAAGAGCGAGGATGGTGATTATGACGGTGTTTCTGCTGATGAGGATAGAGATGAGTCACTTTATGATGCTGATGAGGATGTTGTTGGAGAGACAAGTGATATAGAAGTTGACCTTGTTGCTGCTAGATAGACCAAAGTAAATTAGAAGAACTGGAAAGAGAGATCTAGTGATGTTAATGTAGATGAGCTACCTAGTGGCCCAGTAGGTATTGACCCTGGATTTGAAGACATTTACAAGGACAAGACTGCTAAATATGCTGGCAAATTGGGAGGGGATGAGCAGTACCTAGACAATTCAGATCCAGAGAGTGAGGATAATACTGATGATGATGTAGATGAAGATGATGAGGTGCAGAAACTTCCTCCAAGAAGATACAGTAGAAATGTCTACTTTGACCCTAACTGTAAGAAAATTGTTTTCCAACTGGGAATGGTCTTTGAAAATGTTAGACAATTTAGATCTGCTTTACAAGATTATGCTGTACAAAGGAGAGTTTAGTTAAAGCTGAGGCCAAATGAGAGGAATAGGGTCATGGCAATATATTTGAATTCTAGTAGATGTAGATGGTATATTTTAGGTAGTTTACAGGGCCACACGCAGAACTTCATTGTTAATACATACTACCTTGTTCATTCATGCTTCCTAGTCTGTCACGACCTGGAATTCCCACCCTCGGAAGTCGTGATGGCGCCTACTCATGGAAGCTAGACAAGCCATGAACTTTGAAACCATTAACCCCTTTCGTTTTAATTCATGTTTAAGCAATTAAATTAACAATGAATAAGCATTTAAATGACAACGAAAAATAAAATTTTAGCGGAAGTCATAAACAGATATGAAACCAAAATCCAGAAAGCGAATACATGTCTCTACCCAGAACCTGGTGTCACAACATCCACGGACTACTACGAATACTACATACATCAGTTTGAAGGAAAAGTAAAGTTGTTTATCTCAAATACATGAGATAACAGGATATAAAATAAGATAGAGGAGACGCCGGGCCTGCGTACGTCTGCAAGGCTACCTCGGTGTCTCGGTGGACTGAAGGCTGGCTCCCGAACTACTGCTGTGCACCAAATGCTGCTCCAGTATCTGCACATAAGTGCAGAGTGTAGCATCAGCACAACTAACCCCATGTGTTGGTAAGTGTCTGGCCTAACTCCAGCGAGGTAGTGACGAGGCTAGAACCAGACTTCAGATAAACCTGTGTAGTTATATAATATATGGTGGGAAAGTAAATAGGTAATAAGCAGTTAAAAAGGGAGGGGGTACATGCTTCGGGGAAACAACTCAACCTAGCAGAAACCAAATAAATATGAAAGAACAGTACAGTATCTAAAACAATGTAATAAAACAACTGTTGCGGCACGCAACCTGATCCTTTATCATTTAACACTATTGCGGCGTGCAACCCGATCCAATATAATAATTGTTGCGACGTGCAACCCGATCCAATATATTATCTCTTGCGGCGTGCAACCCGATCCAATATAATATCTGTTGCGGCGTGCAACCCGATCCAATATAATATCTGTTGCGGCGTGCAACCCGATCCATATATGTATATATTAATAAAAATATTGCGCCGCGCAGCCCGTTCCAAATATACAGCTTACAGTGATCATTACAACAATCCCGGCAAGGGATTTACCATAAGTTACACTATCCCGGCAAGAGAACTCAACAGTACAAGTATATACGTCATGGCAAGGGAGAATCAGCTATAACCAATCTCAACTCAACACCTAATCATCTCTATTATCACCATTTCTAACTCATAAGTAACTTCTACGAAAATAAACTAAGCCTTTGCTCAATTCCACGGATTTACTCATTATTGCAACCATAGTATTGTTCAAGAATTCAACAAGTATCAATTTAAGATTCACGGTCATGCTCGACACCAACGTATAGATATTCGTCACCATGCCTATACGTCGTACTCAATAAGAAACACATAACACAAATGGATCAACTCCTAATCCCTCAAGCTAAGGTTAGACCGAACACTTACCTCAAACTTCCACGACTAACTCAATCCTCAATCACCGCTTTTCCTCTCGAATGGCTCCAAATCGATTGAATCTATACATAAATGACTTCATAACATCAATAAATGCTAAACAATTCGAATCCAATGCCTAATTATAGCTTTCCAATCATTCTTCCCCAAAACCTAAAAATCGACCCCGGACCCACTTGATCAAAACATGAGGTTCGGACCAAAATCAAATCACCTTTTCACCCACGAGCCCAAATATATAATTATTTCCAAAATTCGACCCCAAAACGAGGTCTAAATCACAATTAATCAAAAAACCCTAACTCTACCCAAATCCCTAATTTTCTACCCTTAATCACATGTTTTAGGCCTAAAAATTCAATAGATGTTGATGAAAATGGAAGAAAATAAGTTAAATATTACAAACCCAAGATATTATGGTGAAGAATCGCTTCAAGGATCGCCTAAGAGCTTTGGAGAAGAAGAGGTTTTGTGAAATTTTGAGAAATCCCGATGCTACTGTTTTGGGTCTTTTAAAATAACTGGGCAAAAATGGTCTATGCGATTGCGAAGAAGGTCATGCGATCGCATATGGTAAGGAGAAGTTGGTCATTGCGACCGCGGACTTGGTATTGCGAACGTGTAGAAGAAACAGGCTCCCTTCCCAGGTTTGGTTTTTATGCATCGCGATCGCGTAAGAGGGAATGTGATCACATAGAACAAATTGTGGTTACTCTATGCGATCGCGGAAGGACCTATGCAATCGCATAGAATAAAACAGGACATTTAAAACTTACACTATGCGATCGCGAGACTGACTATGCGATCGCATAGCACTAAATCTCAGAACACCGAACTGCTATTTCTGCAACTTTTTCTTAAGTCTAAAACCTTCCGAAACAAATTCAAAACACACCCGAGCCCTCGGGACTCCTAACCAAACACATGTACTAACTCAACAACATCATACGAACTTATCCGCACGATCAAATCACCAAAATAGCCTAAAAAACAATGAATCAAACCTTAAAATCAAGAAATTTTTCTCAAACTTCATCAAGTTTCAAATTTAGAAATTCAAGTCCGAATCACGTCAAACGAC